GTAAATAACATCTTGTTATAGTGAACAGGGTGATTCCACACCACAATAACTACTATCTCCTCCATGTTAACGTACGAAGTCAGTCAGGACCTGTATTGGTATAAAGGTGATTTTGTTGGCTGGTGCCTGTGCAGTTTAACTTTTCTCTACAGAACCACAATCCAGTTCAGCTACACACGATGACACCACATTCAAATTGAAAAGGCAGTGAAGTCTCCAACGCATTTGTGTGAATGCTCCTGAAGTGAAAGTATCGTGTTGATAACAGCTGTTTGATCACTGTCTGCGATGTAGAGGAGTCAGAGACAAACAGTTACCTGATAACTCATAATTGGGATATTGATAACCAGGATATGTTTTGACAGGGACTAGTGTGCACGGAACAAAATCTGTTGAAACAGCCGTGCTGCTGCATCCATCAGTTGTCCGTCCATCCGGCCTGAATGATTGTGTTGTGTTGTCAGGTCTGGGCATGACGATGAGCTACCTGTTCAGAGAGCCTGCCACCATCAACTACCCGTTTGAGAAGGGTCCGCTGTCACCTCGCTTCAGAGGAGAGCACGCCCTGCGCAGGTGAGAGTGAGCGCTCAACAGTCACCCAGGGAAACATGTGTAGTCTGACAGACTTTATGAATGGTATACGTTGTGTTGTCAATCCAATGGAGTAAAAATTCCACAAACAGGAGCAGCTGATCACACAGGATTATCTGTTTTTAACAGTATATAAGATCATTTCATTAACTGACTTACAATTTCACAACACATGAAATTGATGTGGCTCACAGTTTGTGCCACTTTTCATGTGAACAGCTGAAGCTAACTGTGATTATCGTCCAGGAGTAACTGAACAGTGGCTGTTCAGATCAACTATAAACACTTCATTTCTAAGTATCAGAAAACATCTCAAGTCAACACATTTTTTGGTGCAGAACCAAAAACTCACACTTTGATTCACTGCTTCTTTTTCTCATTCCACCAAAACAAGGACATTTGGCCTCGTGCAGTTCGTACAAACAGATTTGTTGTTGAGTTGTGCGTACGAGTGATTTAGGAGAACGTGTTCACCATCCCCTAAACACATTTCTCGAATTAACGGGCACGAGTTATAGTCAGCTTTTATTATAGTTTTTCACTAATCAAATGCACATTTCATTACTTTGGAGTTATATTGAATACATTTATAAATTACACCTCATAATCATGTTGAAATTATTCTTTTTAACTTTACCCATGATATGGTGCGTACGGGTAATGTTCATCATGTCTGCACACGTCATATACACACTTATCTAACGATGTAATAGTTTGTTTTTAACGTGTCATCTTCTTACAAACTCACCGTATGAACAAACAAATGAAGGAGAAATTACTGTCATTACATACGTTTCTTGTAATGATGTTTTAGAGACTCTTGCCTTAAAGGGGCTTTCAGATGGTGAGCGGCTGCTGCCTCCTCTGTCTTCAGTGTGAATCCTGGTGGTTTTAAGCAGCTGATGGGATATACATGTACAGTATCCACCAATAATGGTGGATCAAACCTGCTGCTGCCCATCAAAGTACAATATACTGATAGTGACCTGTGGCAGCCGCATCACTAACCACTTCCTGTCTTAAAGCACCTGTAATCCCACATTTGGCGTAAACAGACATTTTCTTGTTAGAGAATCCCTGAGGTGCAGTGAAGCTTAACAAAGTCTTTGTGATGATGTTACACCAGGTATCCTTCAGGAGAGGAACGCTGTATCGCCTGCAAGCTGTGTGAGGCTATCTGCCCTGCCCAGGTACACACACACAGACACGCTTCAAAAGAACATCTACTCGTTGTGTCCTGATTGCAGCATGGCCTTCATTTGATGTCAGTTGTCTGTAGATATATAGATTTATTATTAATCAAAATACCAACAAGTGAAGCAATGAGGACTGTCAATGTCTCTATTTAACCCCAACGTTGTATGTGTGTTTGTATGTGTGTTTGTATGTGTGTTTGTATGTGTGTTTGTATGTGTGCGTGTCCAGGCTATCACAATTGAAGCTGAGTCTCGCGCTGACGGCAGCAGGAGGACGACTCGCTACGACATCGACATGACCAAATGCATCTATTGTGGCTTTTGTCAGGAGGCGTGTCCTGTGGACGCCATCGTAGAGGTGCGTCTTTGATCCTGTGCTAACACAACGACACAAACTCATCTCCTCAGCTTGTTCAGACATACTGTCGGTGTTTGACTGCCTCGAATGGACATTTTGGAGCCTCTGTTGGAGGAGTGTGCAGATGAAGCTGCATGTGTGACGAGCCATTTTGATTTCAGTGCTCTTACTGAATCACAGCAAAATTGAGGTTGTCAATCCCTCTTCTGTATGTGTGAGTTACCCTGCAACACTCTCAACTAAAAGACACTGTCTCCCTGCACCCAGGGTCTGTCAAGTGTTTAATGCAGCTGCATTTTCTGTTTGACTAGTAAATCTCTGATGGATAAATGTTTGGACTAAATTAGTCATGTGATAACACTGCTGATGAAAACACATTAAGAGGTCTTTGTGGAATGTGGATGACTATCACTTGCTGCTGGTCTGCTGCGAGCTATCAGTAGGGTGATTGATTAACTATTAACTACGTGATAAACTAGCAACAGATACATGCTTAAAAGGAGGAGGATGAATCCTCTGCAATAAGGAAGTCCTGTGAGAACTAGAGATGTTGAGATAACAGAGCTGTACGAGGCTGGCTGTGCAGATGATTCTGTGTTCCCATTGGAAAGATTACTTTTTTAACAACACTTTACTGGTGCTCCTCTTCTTTCTGACCTTTCTCTCTCTCTCTTTCTTTTTTGTGCAGGGCCCTAACTTTGAGTTTTCCACTGAAACCCATGAAGAGCTGCTCTACAACAAGGAGAAGCTCCTCAACAATGGAGACAAGTGGGAAGCAGAGATAGCTGCCAACATAAAAGCAGACTACCTTTATCGATAGTCACCAGAGTTACCGCACACAGTGTACAGATGCCACATAACCTCTCTGACACACGCACACACTGTACGTCCATACTGTACATATTGTAAGAAGCCAGACTCAGCTGTAGTGGATGTGCTTCAGGGTTGGATTTGTGTTTCATGATGGATCCTTTGTTTTCAACTTCACATTCTGACATGATTATCATACTTTGACATGTTTTTGATTTTTTTCCATGGCATCGCATATTTATTATGGAATGACAGGTATCCCCTGGTCAGTGCGACAGCATGGACCAGTGTTTGTCTTTATTGTCCCACTGGCCTAACAGACGTAAACACTGAGACATTCTGTGACACTGAAAGCAGACTTCATCCTGGTTTRATTCTTATGTCCAACATAAGTGTACATGGATTATTGTTATTATCTCGGGTGTCAGTGATTAGTTTTATGGTCTTCATACTGTATCCACCCTGACTCAAATAAAATTCTGGGAGAAACAATTAATGATTTTCCTTTTTTYCCCCCTCCGAAGCTACTTGAACACTTGAATGTGATCAGTGTGAWAAGATTAAAGAAATCACAGATGTGTGCTTTGTTGACAAAGGTTATGGTGGATGAATGAGTCAAGAATAAGATTTTCACCCAGGAGACGGGTTTCAGTTCATTTGTTATTCAGCAAATAGAATAGTTTGCAAATGCTATTGTATTAAATCRGCTACAGTAATGACAAGTGAACATTATCAGGATTATTTTATTTTGGAGAGTTTCTCTTTAATTTTGAACTTCACCTTGTGAGATTGGCTCATATTGCCAGAGATGGATTGGATTCACTAATATTCCATCTTTCCAGCCTCAATTTGTAGAATCAATTGGTTGTAATCTTATTTGAAAGCAATTTGTTGAAGATTGTATCAGGCTTCCTTATTGTAATTCTTTATTATCAGGAKGTCCCAGGAAGTCTGTGAAAAGCCTCCAGTTGGTCCAAAAAGCTGCAGCACGAGTGCTGACAGGAAGTAGAAAGAGAGATCATATTACTTCTGTCTTAGCTTCTCTACATTGGCTCCCTGATAAATTCAGAATATTCAATTCAATTTTATTTGTATAGTGCCAAATCTTAATATACATCATCTCAGTAAAGAAAAAAGTTCTGGTTTCTTTTTTATCTCTTTAAACCAATCAGTCGTGTTGTCGTAGCTAAGCTCAAGATGCACTTYACATAGAATGTCAAGACTGTAAAATCTTTTTTAATATAGAGAAACCCAACAGTTCCCACAATGAGCAGCACTGTGGCGACTGTGGAGAGAAAAAACTCTTTTGAATAGAATTCTAGATCCTGCTCCTCACATACAAAGCCCTTAACAACCAAGCCCCTTCATATATTAATGARGTCATAACACCGTAATGTCCCAAGAGATCAGAGAGGAACAGGAGGTAGAATGTTCAGCTACCAGGCTCCTCTCCTGTGGAACCAGCTTCAATTCTGGGTTCAGGAGGCAGACACCATCTCTAAAACTAATCCCTCATCCACTACTTTTAGTTTTAGTAAGTAAGCTTTCGTTATGAAATGCACCAATAAATCAATCAAATTGTATTTGTATAGCCCATATTCACAAATCACAATTTGTCTCATAAGGCTGTGACATCCTCTGTCCTTAACCCTCAACAAGAGTAAGGAAAAACTACCCAAAAAAACACAACTGTTGCAAAATTCGTGTCCAGGTCTGGACTGGTAATCTGGCTTCCGGGCATTTTCCCATCAGTCTGACGTCCCTGTGGGCTAACATACTTTGTTTTGGTTTGTCGTGTCAGATGTTGTGGTTCAGGGCCAAAAGTCTGTGGATGAAGGAGTGCATTCAACATCAAAATGGCCGAACAGGTCGAACCAAAGAGCAATGGTCATGTTATAAATCCTGCTACAGCTATAACTTCAAACTGTAGTTACTTCAATTAAGTATTGCCATCTTTAGCTAATTACTAACAATTAAAGAAAACATGTCCTCCACAGCATTCTTACAGTATCAATTACCTGGTAAATAACACGCTGAGTTTCCATCAACCATATTTGTTTATTACCAGATTATTGCACGCAGGTTTCTAGATGTATAGAGGAACAAAACATTGAAATGAAGTGAGAACCATGGTTTAACATCAGAAATGATGGGATAAAAGTTATCCTGTGAGTATCCATCACTCTACCTTTCGCTCAAAAGCACATACACACACAGTGTGTGGAATGATCTGTACAATAATTATTCATACCTGCTTCACATGCCACTTTAAGTTACAACTGTGAAATCAAAATGCACATCTACACACACAAGATACATGTGAGGGTGACTAGATGTCAAAGAATGCAAAGTGTGTCGTTTGTCGGGCCAGAAGCACATATAAAACACCAGTAGCACAGATTTAAATAAAGCACCATCTCGTAAAAGCCTGGTGTCTTACTGCAAAGTCGTCCTCCAAACTGAAGTGCAAAAATAAAGAATTTACATGACGAGCCCCAGAGGAGTGTTTTTCCCTCAATTGCCCGAAAGCAACAGATATCACTGTCTTTCTCTCTTCATCTCTCTCTCTCTCTCTCTCTCTCTCTCACTCACTCACACACACACACACCAGCTGCTATAAAAATGTAAATAAATAAATATAAAGGTAAGTAAATCTTTATTCATTTTATAAATATTCCCCTAGCTAATGTTAATCTATTAAATAGAATGAAAAACAGTGCTGTGTTCACCTACCTGCAGTCACACTGTGCTGGCAGAGAACCACATTCACATCCATCATTTTCTGTTCATGCCGTACAGAACCTGGGTTTACCAGTGCAGTGTTCAGCATTGCGATCAGTAGTGGGCCTGCAGCGAGACACTGCCAGGGCTGCCATGCAAAACAAAAGCAGTTTTCATTTCTACTTCACTTCCTCCATAAAGGGAGGGACAATGGATTACAAAATTTACTTCACACACCACTGTAAAAAAGTTCTATAGAGATTAAAGGAAAATCCCTGTTTATTAGCTTGACTAGTTACAATAAACTCAGGTCTTATTTTTGTCATTTGAGCCAACATCCCTATCAATAACATTGCTTTGAAGTGCCGTGCATCAAATCTGACAGGGCAAGAAGCATGAGTGGACRGACAACCACTTAAACTGAACCAACAGTGCACACAAGAGTGCAAACAAATGTTACACACACAAGGTAAAAAATCTTATTTTTCTCTTCAGTCCATCTGTCTTATTTTGAATCCCTGTTCACATGATGAGCACAAAGTTCTTAAAGCGCAATGTTCATTCTAAAGATGGCTACAAATTCAAAAATAAGACCAAAGTTGTAATAAACTGGAGGTATAGTTGAACTTGTAAATCAGCCACACACTATTAAATCAAGTCAGCCACAGCTGAGGGCAGATTGAGTTTGGTTTGTTTTGGTTCAGCAGAGACTCTGTTTGGCTCCTTCCAGCCACAGTGCTCTGCTGTGTTGTTGACCCTGACTGCTCAGTGTTGAGTTTACAGCGACGCTCACGTAGCCGGAGCCCTTTTTTCTGCTTCAGCTGTGTTCTCTCTATGTGAGCCTCCTCTTTCTTCGCTGTCACAGAGTTGTTGGTKTAATCCTTCAGCACATGAAGTGGCACTGTAATCACCAATATATTTCCCTTGCTTTCGCTGTAAAAGCACAGAATTAACAACACATCTGAGAGGCTGGGGTCAGTATTAGTTTCTCTGCTTACACTTGGTGCTGGCACATGTCACAGATTCAAGTCAAAGTCCCCTCTGAGCAGGCTTATGTCTGGGCCTCTGGCAGGGACCGGCCCGGTTCACATGGCACTGAGGAACCAGCCAAACCATTTGTGCTGCGACACAGTAGAGCTTTGGTTGCCGTGGCAGCTGTTGTTGGCGAGAAAGTGCTGCCACCAGTAATGGTACCGTTGAGGTTCCGGTATGGTCGCTGCCGTGGTAGCGAGGCCCTTCGGCGGGGGGCAGGCACAGCAGCTAAACCCCGCAGGCACACTGAGGGGAAACTCAGACCCACCAGACAGCATCCCGGACAGGAAATGACTTCATCCTGCTCAGAGGGGCCGCTAAGGTCAGACGGCAGGACCTGGGCTCCATTGTAACCATTAGCTCGCCCTCCTCCTCCCCATTGCACCTGCTGGCCAATCACAAGGCCCGAACCATTGTTGTTGTCTAACCGTGGTAGCGGAGGCAAGGAGGGCGGTCCATTGGAGATGGGAAGTTGCCAGCCATTGGTACGTAAAGAGGTGCTGGGCCTGGGTCTTCCAGATGTTGAGTCCAGGACTCCCTCGGTTGGCTCTGGAGACTTGGTACAGTCCATGGGTTCTGTTAGACATACACTCTCCTCGCCCTCCTCCTCTTCCTCCTCCAACCGCTCCAGAGACACCATCTCTAGCTCAACAGGAAGACCTGAGTCCTCTTCTAATCTCTCCTCCTCCTTTAATAACGCTCTCTTCTCATTTACAGCTATAAACTCTACCTGCAACCTTTCGACCACGTTCTCCAACAGCTCTGTCTCTTTATACTGGTTGTCCTCCACCGTTCCTCCTTTATTTGCAGCCGATCTGATGTCTTCGTCTTCTTCCTCCTCCTTACCCTCAGCATCTCTTGTCAAGGCTAMAGTCCGGCCAAGTTCTGGGGTACAGGGGAGAGACTGGCACCTCCTGTGCGGCGCTCGCATTCTCTGTGTCCCCCTAAGGTGTGGGGAGGCACATGGGTCACGAAGTGCTGGGAGTGTGAAGGTCAGGGAGATAACGGACTTGCTGGGTGTGTCTAAGAGTTTACACCGCCCCCCATTCAGATCCTGCCTCAGGGAGAAGGGGTTGACCCTCACAGGAGTCCCGAGGAGAGGAGGGGTCAAGGTAGATGGGGGTAACATGTCTGACTGGCTCCTTGCCAAGCCTAGTCGTTGCTGGC